CGTGGCACCCTCGTGGCTGCATCCGCCTGAAGTTCCTGGAACCTCGGGGCGAGCCGCGGGAGCGGCCGGGCGGTTGGGGAGGAAAGAAAGGAAGGATAGAAATGTTAGCAAAGCAAATAGTTCGTTCAGCCTCGACGCCAGCACTACACGAAACTGGAAGGAGGGGGAGGAAAACAGATTTGAAAAGGAGATCCGAGGATGAAACATGTCAGGGTGGAAAAAGGACCGAAGGCCGAAGGAAAATGCAAATTATTGGGTGAGGTTGGAGAGACAGATAACAGAATTCTAGACTGCAAATCTCCACTCAAACCCCAACTGCAAATCCCAACGGGTCCTTGTGTCGGGTAACAGGCCATTCCATTCCCGATATAAACTCTGGGTAATGTGTTCGGTTTCTAAAAGCCCTCTGCACCCTGTCAACTGCCACCTTAACCCCTAGTTCATTACAAAGAGGAGAGGAAGAACGGAAGGCGGATTGTCGGACCCTGCGCCTGGGCTTGAGGAACTGCGGCTCACCTCAGATGGCTCCCCTGGAGGACTGGAAATTGCTTGGCAGCGCATTTGCCTCGTGAAGGCTTAATTCTATGAATTAATGCACCATTCCTGCCAAGAGAAACTTGATTAGAGAGGAATGGTGTTTCTGGGAAATTATTCCCCGGGCATTTGCTTCCGGAAGATTGAAATGGTATCTTGATAGTCAAATGAAGATGGTTATCAGACCTTCAATAATGGCTTTAAACTAGCATCAGATAGACTTATATGGTACACAGAAGTCCTGGAGTTCAGACTGCTGTTCAGGTGTCTGGAATTACCTAGCGTTAGTACCCTCTTTCTAGTCCATCTTCCAGCCCTGTGTACTCCCATCAAGACTGAACAGGTGGTTCCCCAATCGGGCCAACATTCTCAAATCTTTTGCACATTTTGATCGCTCTGTGTAGAGTGTCCAGCCCATCTTGGTATATAGGCTGCCTCATGGGAAAAGCCTGTCACCCAAGACAGACTTAGAGATGTGCCTTAACCTTTTTCTTTGATCTGCCTCCGTTAAAGCAATACAGTATCCTTCTATATTTTATGATTTAAAAAAAAAAACTCCCCATTAAACTATAGAATGCCTTCGTAGAACCAATACCATATAGGCACTAGCAAAAAAGAATGGGTCAAACCAGGCTTTGTGGTACATGCCTATGATTCCAGCACTTGGAAGACTGAGCCAGAAGGATAGTTCCAAGTTTGATGCCAGCCTGGACTACATAGTGTTCAAGGCCAGCCTGATTCCGTACCCTCAGTACACATAGCAAGATCCTGTCTTCTAATACTTTTTTCAAAAGATGGAGTCAAAAAAAAATTTTTTTTTTTTTTTTTGCAGCCAGGTATGGTAGCACATGTCTGTAATCCTAGCACTCTAGGAGGCTGAGGCAGGAGAATCACAAGTTGGAGCCCAGCCTGGTCAAGTTAGCAAGATCCTATCTCAACAAGTTTAGAAAGGGCTGAGAATGTTGATGAGTGTGAAGGCCCTGGTTTCAATCCTTACTACTACCAAAAATAAAAATGAAAATGAAATTTTTGAATGAGTGAAAAAAAGTCCTATCTTCTTAGCAGAATTAACCCTTATACGACTGTTTATAGGATCAAGTGGGCAAAGGACTTTCAGTTTCCTATCTAAGAGAAAGGCTGGAAAATGTGACTTTTAACTAATTAAAATATTTCTCACCTAAGACCCTTTTGTTATTGTAGACCCTTAAACAGGTCCCTATATAACTCTCAGCAAAAAATTAAAAGTGAGCTATTTGTTAGTAGGCAATACATTTCTTAATTTAAGAAACAAAAGTCTCTAAGTCTCACAGGGTGTTACTTGACATGTCCTCTGGGGAGGCTGAAGCAAGAAGGTTACAAAGCAAAGGTCAGCCTGAGCAACTTACCAAGACACTGTCTCAAAATTAAAGGCGGGGAGGGGTGGGCGCGTATTTGCCTAGCATGCAAATGGTCCTGGGTTTCATCCCCAGTGTCGGAAAAACAAAAGAAAAGAAATAAGTCTGTAGATGTATATATATCTTAGCCTAAGAAACTTCACTGAAGAAGTTCTAGTCAGACCTGGATAATATTGCTTGGGAATCGAGGTGTGGTTCCGATGCTTAAGTAACACCTTTGTTCCCTGGCAGTAAATCTGTTACCACAAAGAAAATGCCAGCAGTACAACCAAAGTTCTAGTGTTCCAACTGTAATCATTAAACTTCCTTACTTTTTCCCCTTCTAGCCACTATTTCCTCACAGTGACTGACAATATGTGTTATCCATCGCCTCTCTACTGCTATTTTGGAAGTTACATCCAGTTAAAAGAAAGAAACGTTAGCCGGACTTGGTGGCACACACCTGAAATCCCAATACTTGGGAGGCTGAGGCAGGAGGATCACTGTGAGTTCGAGACCAGCCTGGGCTACATAGTGAGTTCGAGGTCAGTCTCAACTACATAGTGTGACCCTGTCTCAAAAAACAAACAAAAAAAAAAGAAAGAAAGAAATGTTAAAGGCTGATATTTTCCCAATCCGGCCTTGAACAACCTCACTAACCCACCACAACGAAGAACTATTTGTAACAGTGTGCAAGTCAAGACACGTATATGGAAGAATTTTGTCTAACCCTCATCTATATGGAGTTCTGCCTTAGCAGGGCCTTTGAGAATAAGGCTTAAAGGAGAATATACATGATTTATGAAGGTAAGGGAACATCAGGGTCTAATTTGGACGTGAGAAAATGGAAAGGATTTTCTCTCCTAGTCAAAAAGTTCTGAACTAAACAGAGAAAAAGAAAGAAGGTATCGTTCATTGTGTCTTTATATAGGTCTGTTTCCCTATTCCCATGTTTAGTCCCATAAGATCTGATGGTTCTCAGTGTCCTTGTCATGTAACCTGATGGGTTTAAGGACATCAGGGATTCCAGTTGCCATAAAGAAAGAAAGAACCATAATTGAGACAGCTTTTAAAAGTTTTAAAACGTCCCCAAGTTCATGACTTGGGTAACTCTGATCTGAATTCTAATAAATAGCAATAAAATTAAAATAAAAAGATCTTTGTATTTAATAAAAATTGAGGAGCGGAGGTACTTTTTTTTCAAAAGTGCCCCAATTTCTAGGGAATTTTGTGTGAAAACATCCAGCGGACAGAAAAGATGGTAGCAAAACATCATAGGAAAAAGAACTAAGTTGAGCTCCTGAGGCCTGTGAGAAGGAAAGGAAGACAACAAATGGCCCTTGCAACCTCCTTGCTCCCACTCCAACCAGTTTATCCTGTACACCTTCATACAGGAGTGGTCTTTCATCCAATTTCTTCATTTCTAATTACGTGGGTACCCTGCCCATGCAAGATTAAATCCAGATTCCTGTGAAGGCCCACATTGTATTTTAAGATCACTTTCCTGGAAGTTTTATCAATGTCATCTCCTACCACACTATTCCAGCATCTTGTAGTCTAGCTGTCCTGAACTCCTGGAAGTTCCCTGAAAAGAGAATACCATCTCAAACTTTTATTTTTTTACATTGCATTTTTCTCTTTGGGAAAAGAAACACTAAAAGTTTGTTTGTTTTTTTTTCTCAGCTGCTGCCAAGTTTCTCAGTCCTTCTAAGGAAGCTTAAGGCCAGTTGGGATGAGGCCCTCACCTCACCTGGTGATTTCCACCACACTGCTCTTGACCTCAATATGGCCTCCATCTCTGAGCTGGCCTGCATCTATTCTGCTCTCATCCTGAGTGCCAGTGAGGTGACTATCACCAAGGATAGGATCAATGCCCTCATTAAAGTGGCTGGTTATGTAAAGGTCTACCCTTTTTGGCATGGCTTGTTTGCAAAGGCCCTAGCCAGTGTCAATATCCAGGAACTCATCTGAAATGTACATACTGGAGAACCTGTTCCAGCCTCCGGTACTACATCAGCAGGAGGTCCTATTTCCTTCACCATCACTGCTCCTCTGAAGAGAGGAAGGATGAAGCAAAGAAAGAAGAACCTGAGGAGTTGACACAGGCTTTAGTCTTTGTGACTAAACCTCTTTTGTAACATTTTCAATAAAAAGCTTAACTCTGGAAAAAAGAAAACTGAGAGGAGAGAGAGAGAGAGAGAGAGAGAGAGAGAGAGAGAGAGAGGGAGGAGGCAGAGAGGCAGAGGTTAAATGATTAAAGCTTGACTAAAAAACGACTGGATAGCCACACACAAAAATGGGACTTTAAAGGGACCAGAAAATTCCTTTGCCAAAAATCACTTACAAGCTGGTCATGGTGGTAAATGCCTGTTATCTCAGCACTCTGGGAGGCAGGGGAATGGTATATTCAAGCTCAGCCTGGAACGTAGTAACTCTCATAAAAACAACAACAGCAAAAAATAGTTCTAGCCAGGCATGATGGCAAATATCTGTAATCACTGGTACTTAAGAGGCTAAGTCAGGAGAAACACAAGCTCAAGGTCAGCCTGGGTAACTTAGTGAGAACCTGTTTCAAAAGAAAAAATGGGGAGATGCTGAGGATGTAGCTTACAGTAGCCCTGGGCTTCGATCTCCAGTACTAAAACAAACAAACAAACAAAACAAAACAAAAAAAATTTACTTTCACTCTCTACTCATCCCATTACCTACACTCTACCTGTACAAATACATTTAATGCGGAATACTGCCCACAACATGACTTAATGACCATTGAAGTCATTATCAACTATTATCGCTTTTGGGTAAATAGTTTAATAAAAGTAGAGACAGTAGAGTTACTTTTTATCTGTATAACAATTATGAGAACATCATTGGGAAATGAGAATTTCAGTGGAGATAGATAATGACAAATCTGAAATCAGAAAAGTCAGAGATGAA